GAAAAATATTTTCCTTTATGTTAGGCCTTTTTAGTAAGAAATAAAAATAAAAAAGTTTTGGCTAGGCCTATTTTAACCATTTTTTAATTTTTTCTCTGGTAGGCCTACATTTCTTGACAAGGCCGGGTATTTTGGTATTATCCGGAGGCCAATTATTTTAGAGTGATTTTTTTACTGGAGTCCGAAAGTAACTAAGTTACATAACTTAATTGGGAAGAATATAGTTTAATTGACTTACTGTTCTAAATTGACTTGATTACGATTAGCGGCCTTTTAGTTCTGCCTCCTAGAAGGCAGCGATGTCTGCGAGGATTGAGTTGAATGCGTCGCTGCTACTATACTCCGTCAAGAGGCATACAGCCCGCTGCGGTGGTTACCGTATGTTAGGTTGGGTTATCATAAATATATATGTAGGACTTTCCTTGTTTTGTTATGAATCGAACGATAGGCCTACCAGATGAGTCATACTTTCGCCCACTACGTTAAATACCCCAGATACAGGCAGTGACAGGTGATGCGCACGCTCTGGTCAACGACCTGACCTTGGCTTACTTGGAGGGGATTTGGCATGCAAAAGTATGACTCATCTGGTATTGTTCGATTCATAAAGAAACGAGTAAAATCCTACAAACATATTAATGATAACCCAACCTAACATAACCGCCACAGCGTGCTGTATAGGGGTGCCTCCAGATAATAACAAAGTACCCGAGACTGTTTTCACTCTGAAAATTGTAAATTTGTTAAAAATTGTAAATTGCCAAAAATTTTCGGTTTTCGAGTAAACTGGTAAATTTCTCCGTCCGTACGGTATACTAAGAATCAATAACTTAATACTTAATCACTACGACTAATCTTTTAAACACAACCTAGGGAACCTAACAAAACCTAACGTAGCGTAACCAAACCCAACATAACCTATCCTAACTACCTTTGAACCTAACCAAACCTAACAAACCTAACCAGCTCGACCAGCATTTCTAATTAACTAAATTATGAAAATGAAGAGAGAAAAAATGCCAACCAGGGCCTAAGCCCAGATTATTTTTGGTTATGTTAGGCAGATGTTAAGGTAGATTAACCCTCCGAGTGTTATGTGTCGTAAAAGCGACTCATAACACATCCGCTGTAGTGTTATGTGTCGCTTTTGCGACTCACAAACACTGTTTACGGCGACGGCTCTGGGACTGACTGAATCGGATTGAACTGGATCGAGTTAGGTATCGTTTTTTTTCAGCAGATTCAGAGCTTTCTCCTGATGTCTGTTTTTATACGCTTTTCGTTTTAGTTCCGAAAATATTGTAGCAGACAGCTGACGTGCGTATTTGTAAACAGCTTGGTTAACCTCGCACCGATGACTGATGTGTTTTATTACGTTTATCATTGTTTTAGTGTTAAAAATTAAAAGTGGTGATATACAAGGTGCATTATAAGAAGATTTTAGTGATTTTGAAGGGCTGGTTGATGATCCCGAAGAAGTAGGTAGTGATATTGATGTAGGCTAAATTATCAGCCAGATTCCTAACTATGGTTAGGCTATGCATTCTTAGCTAAACGCTATGTACCGTACGGAAATCTGTTTTTTGCCCATAACTTATTTATTTGCTAACCTACTTCCTTATATTATTATATTTTTGGAATCCTCATAAAATTCCGAACAAAGTGGCTATTTTAAAATATTTGTAGACCTATAAATTATAACAATTTATTGAGCGCAAACTTATTTTTTTTTTCATTTATTTTATAATTTTTGAGAAATGTTATCCCACAAAAATTGTTGAACTTTTTTTTGTAATGTTTTATATGTTACATTGAAGCCCATAATTTTCCAAACAAAATGATATATAAAACAGTATAGGCCTACTTTAAATAAATAAATTAATGTGTTTATTCATGAGCGAATTTCAGTTACAAAACTGTTTTACAAATTGACTCAAGTCAGGACTTAAACTAAATAAAACCTCTTATAACTACGAAACAAAATAAGATTAGTTACAAACTCTTTAGGCGATTCTTAAAACTGTTGTAAGACAGTGCTTTTAGCTTGCAAGGAAGTGCATTGTACTGAGCCGGCCCGAAGTAAGAAAAACCCCTTCTACCAGCACAAGAACAACCCTTGGTATGTCAAGCAACAAGTCCTGTCTAGTTCTGCGCTCTCTCACGGCCGACCTCGCTTTCAGTTTTTCCTTCAAGTACTGTGGTGCCTGAGTGACCAGTGTTTTGTGGACGATACATGCAACCTGCTTATCACAGCTCTCTCGGACGGACATTGTATTTGAGATCCTACGGTGACTTGTTATATGATCATATTTCTTAAGTTTGTATACGAACCTTAGGGAGCAATTCTGTAGCCTGTGAAGTATTGTGATCTGTTCCTGTGTTAAGCTGTATCCAAAAGTGCATCGTGAAGACATCGTAATCGTCTCCCGTGATTACGGCAAAATGTTAAAAATATCCCGCAGTCATATGGAGATCATTATCGTCTTCCACGATCGCGGCAAAATTCTGACTGTTTCCCGCGGTTGTGTAGAAATTATCATCGTCTTCTGTGATTGCGACAATATTCTGATCATCCTTCGTGGCTCTGTAGATCTCATTATCGTATTGCGCGATCGCGGTAAAATAATGATCATATCCCAAAGTCGTTTTAGACATTATCATCGTCTCATGCGATTGCAGCAAAGTTATGATTATCCCTCACGGCCTTGTGTAGACTTATTATCGTCTCCTACGGTCACGGAAACGTCAATGTTGTCATGCGCCATCGCGGTAAATTCACAATTCCAGGTAGAAATACAAAATTCACGCTTAATTCCCGGTTCAAAAAAATGCATTCTTAATTCCCGGATTTCCAGGTTGATGGTCACCCTTTTATAGTCTATATATTGCAAAGGAGCGCTACTATTAGTTGTGCCTAGGGCGCTGACATATTCAAAAACGGGCCTGCCAATAGAATAAAAGGGTTTCCTATTATATTGTATCTATTATATACAAAGTGAAATAGAAAAGCTTCTTCAGTGTTGTTGAAAAACCCATCATTCCGATGTCGTATATTTGTCCTTAGCTACAATGAATGAACTTCCTCACCATCGGTATGAAGAAGAAATTTTATTTTTGGCAACCTAATTTGTTTTCAAAACGGTTTGATTTATTATGTTCATTATATTTAATTCAATAACCCAACAACTCATTTAACTTCTGGCAATACATACATTAGCCAAGTAAACTTTCCCATGACTATCAATTAGCTGACTACCTAGTTAAATACAAAATTAAAATTAACATTTATTAGGATTGTCCGCCAGCAAGAGATGCACATACTCTGTAGTCGCCTTTACCCACAAAAAATTATAGGAAGCGCCCTTTGAAGCATTTCAATCTGATACGGACTTGATTTGTATACGGAGAATATTAAACAATTTGATGACATTATAATTTACATTAGTAGCCTGTGCCAATATTATAGAAAACATTAAAGTAGCCTATTAAGAGTCTGTATGAGATTTTCGGTATAATATATGTCGGTATGAAAATGCCAGTTTAACTAACCTAAACTATAAATTATAGACAAATCACTTCAGTCAAAGTTGTCGTAGAGAAAACAAGGTATGTAGGCCACATGCACAGTTCGGTTCCTCTCATTCATTTGTTTTAACTTAGAGCATCTATTGGACCTGTATGGATATTTTGAAACTTCATCGGAGCTGTGTGATATTGAAAAAAAAATGTCTGTGTGAATAACATCATTTGGAAGTAACTTATTTCTGTTGAGTTGTTGGACCTACAGGAATTGAAATTATCCGGAGCTATTACAATTGAATGTGCATCGGAGATACATAGGACCTTCCCAAGTAAATCTATTACAGGACATTTGAAACATTTTACTTATTTGTGGTAGGCCTAGTCTATTTCCATTGAAATTATCCTGAGCTATTACAATTGAATGTGCATCGGAGATACATAGGACCTTCCCAAGTAAATCTATTACAGGACATTTGAAACATTTTACTTATTTGTGGTAGGCGCTACCAGCCGAACTAAAACATACGGGTGACACTTGTTGGTAGTGCTTGGGGTAGGGGCGAGTGAGTAACGCCATAGATAAAAGGAGTATAGACAGTATAAGGACAGTAAAAGTAAAGTAAAGACAGTAAAAGGAGTATATATAGAGTATGTCTATACTCCTTTTATCTATGGTAATGCTGAGTAGCAAGCTACAAATGTTTTCACAAAAGTAGCCAGGCCAACCCCCTCGCCCAGACCCAACCAGTTCTGTCCGCGAGCATAGAAAAATTGGCCGAACTGTACAAGGGAGGTATTAAAGTGTATTTTGTAGTAAAATGTTGATAACTTGGAATGGAATAACTAGATTTACCAAATTTGATCAAAACATAAACAAGCAAACTACCTAACCTAACTTCAGCCTAGTATTGACATTTGGTTGACATTTTTTCTGTAACCATTAAATGTACAAAGCTTAAGAGTACTAGATTAATATTATTATTTTTCTGAAATGAAATGAATACGGTAAGTGCTTTAATTACAAATTGTTATTTACATTCACAGGTCAAAAATTACACTTAATGAACAATGGTTAAATAACCGTCTTTAATTGCCTTTAAAATAAACAAATGTAAATATGTTAAATAAATAAGAAAAGAAAATAACATTTCTCTATTAAATGTTGATTTCCACTGAAAAAAAGAATTAGAAAGATCGGGTAAACAATGCATAGGATAAACAATTCAAAAATAGAGTAAATGGGCCTCAAAAAGAGACAACAAACATGACCAACCACACAGCAAAGCAAAAACAGGGGTATTTCTTTATACATTTAGTTAAAAATTATTATTTTTTAAAGCTATTTACAATGCTGTAGAAAGACATCGCATATATATATGCATTGACATTGATGTAACTTAAAAATTGACAAATGAAATTCACACAAGAAACTACCAAATTTTCCCTCTCTAATAGACATTTTCTTTTATAGGTCGGACATGGATGTGTGCATTTTCTGCCGAAACCAAACTGATGACGAGATCCGATTTGGAAAAATTCTCAAACTAGATAAGATTACAGTTCATCAACATTGTATGGTAAGAATGATGGTTTTTTATTTGCTACTTGTAAATTTATTTAAAATACAGTTTTTACAATAAACACAAATACAAAGTTGTGTCTGTACATTGATTCAAATAGTATACTTAAGGGTGCGCTCTACCCCTGACGCGCAACCGAATGCAAGGGTTTGCAAGATTACTATGTTCACCTGCTACATTGAAGGTAGAATCAAAGTTAAGGTCTCTTATTAAAGAGGATGAAATTTTCTATAGTTATGCGTTTCATTATTTCATTTATTTTTATACACACCTTATAAACTGATTTGTAGGACAAGAAAAAAGGTCTTTTCAACTATCCCTAACTTATTGAAAAAACTTTATTTGTAAATTTGAAAAACGCAGGACTGTTGATTGGTATTTGCACTACTATAAGCCATTTAGAGTGCGTAGCTATCATTATTGGTTAATTTGAAAACAGTAATCTTGGAAACCTCTGCAGGCGCTGTCCAATGGTGCAACATAGCAACTGAAGCCTGAGCTGAAATTTCCGAGCTGAGGTAGAGCCCACCCTTAACAGACTTTGCTGAACTATAATGCATATTGAACTAGATTGCCAAATTTAACAAATGTGTACCAACTAATAATACCAACTAATAACTGAACCTTTTTAGAAATTAAGGCTAGGTTATTCACAACAAATTTAATAAACTTAAATTCTTACATAGCTGAAAAGGTAAACAAATCTCTAATACAAACAACAAGTAAATAAATACTTCAGCTGATTACTAAGAACAGTAATTCATAACATTACTAACTTGCTGACAAAGCCAGAAATAACAGGGTTGTCTGCAGTAGACAGAGAAACTTTCAAATAGATAAAAATGTTCTGTTTGTATTCTGGCATCCTTGTCACAATATTTGTCATTCTTGGTCCGTTTGAGTGTGCCTGCTGTTTTCATTATAAAAATTTGTAACAATCAGTGACAACCATCTAGATACATAAACTTGACTATTTTAACATTGTATAAAGAATAATGTTGAGTACATGAGCAGTTATGAAAAAAGTAACAAATTAATCTAAATAAACCCTTCTTGAATGACATCTCGATCATGGCATGAGTATAAACAAGCAATAAATATTGCATGGCAGGATTATGGAGCTATTTACTAAAACTCTGTACTGTAATTGAATAATTTACACTCCTCAATCTAAACCCTGGCCCACAAAACTCAATTTTTTTCACAATGGAATGGCCTCTGGATCGTCTGAATTAACTATATAGTGGTTTAAAAATACCTTTTTACTATCAGACAATCCTTCGTAGTATGTGAGACTACAGCTGTTTCATGCTTCAAAGGAGCACATCTTCAGGTCAGAAGAACGTCAAGTAGTCTTCATTGGGATTAGATATTCCTCGTAGTGGAGTTCGTCAAAAGTGTAATAAATAGGTAACAAAACACATAGTACACGAAAACACGAAACATTTAGAATTGGTCGACCAGACGACGGTAACAATACAGTACACGTCATACGGCGCAGGCTGAGGGTGAGTCGCGACTGACTGAGGGAATAGCGACTCCGTGTGCTATGTGTTTTTGTTTTGTTACCTATTTATTTAACTTTTGACAACCTCCACTACGAGGAATATCTAATACCAATGAAGACTACTTGACGTTCTTCCGACCTGAAGATGTGCTCCTTTGAAGCATGAAACAGATGTAGTCTCACATACTAGAAAGGATCATTTTGACAGTAACAAGGTATTTTAAAACACTATGTAGTAAATTTTTTTACTTTGTCCATATTTTAATGGATTTGTAAAAATTAATCAATTAAAAAATCTGTAGCTTCTGACTGAATATAGTTAATGCACTGTCTCATACAGGGTGAATAAAAAGTCAAGACCTCCCTCTAATAATTTTCTAAGTAAATATACAGAGATATCCTTTTGGTGGCCGTGCAATCTAAACAGGAAGTTTCTTCTTTATGATTTTGAAATTGTTGAGTGTCCCCCAAAAGGGAGGATTTGGGGGGCAACTCAAATATTTTAAATAGATGTTTTTAGATTTTTTTAACATTTTACAGTTTTTATCGCCAGCTCTAATTCAGAATGGAGCCGAGCATGAAGGTCTAATGGGGTTTTTACCCCGAGACCTTCTTAAAGAAACAAGAAGGGCGGCAAAATTGGTAAGATTTTTTTATATTTTATCTTAAATTTGTGTCCATAACTGTTAGTAATTATATAATGATTGCTTTTTGCTCGGGTTGAGGTTAAAAATAATTTTACCTACCACAGTTTTTAAAGTGGCCATTCCAGTTCAGTTCTTAGAATTGAAAAGTGGTACAATAATTAGTGTTTGGTACAATGTTTTGTTGCATTACTGTGAGTGGCAATGAGAGGTTATAGGCTAAATGAAAATATAACCTCTCTTAGAAGTTATCAGTAGTGATTTTTAGTAATTAAAAACACTGTCGTAGGTAAACAAGTGTATGCAACTCGCGTAAATAGTGTTTACCAACGACAGTTTTTTTAAGTAGACATTTCAGCTCAGTTATTAGAATTGAAAAGTTTCACTAAACAACTGGCAACTTGCGTAAATAGTGTTAACGACGCGAGTAGAAAGTTTAAGCTATGAGCCTTGGCGAGTGCCTTAAAAACTTCTACGAGTGTCGTTAACACCATCTTTAAGCAATCGTTGCGTAAACTACTATAAACGCCAGGGTAGCCCATTGTCCTCCCAATTATTACATATTAGCATTATATGTCCCCTCTTATTAGTGTATACTCGATGCTCGGTGACGGACACACAGCAGAGTCATGTTGGCAAGAGATCCTTCTTTTTCCGTTTTATTTTACAGACTGAGAGTGTGTGCATTTGGGGTGTTCGATAGCTCGGGGTAAGGCTTTTCGGGGTTTATGGTCGGGTGGCTGCTTTGATTTTTGTAGTGTTACAGTTGCTGTTTTCCAGTTTTGTCAGTTTCAATGTTGTAGATCAGTTTAAAAACTGTAGCGCTAATGTATGGTCTTTTTTTATTTAGGAGAGCATTCAATCCATTAATATTTACATGCTTGTATGTTTGGTAGCTTTCTTGTACTTTTGCTTATTTGAGTGGGTTTTGTTCAAAATAGTGAGGGAATCGGGGAAATGTTATTGTCAACCACTGATGTGAGGCTGTTATGATGAGTTGCTTTATTTTTCAGACATGCAGTTTCTGTAAAAAGAAAGGAGCGTCACTAGGGTGCGAAGAGCGGAAGTGCTCAAAAAAATTTCATCTTCCGTGCGGACTAAAAAATGGTACACTACACCAGCACTTCGGGGAGTACCAGTAAGTTCTCCTTTTGTTTCTTTTTCTAATGTCATTTGATGTATATTTGTGCTAAAAGTTTTTCAACATCAAAGATACCTAATTTTAGATTCTTAAATAAATAAATACATTTAGGTTCATCATGTTTTACTGCACAGAGTGCACACCAAAAATGGCATATCTCAATTGTTTTTTTTTTCTTAGAAATAGTTTTTATATTCCATGATGAAATTCATATCTAAGATCATTGCACTGTATATAGGTTGGTTTGAGCACAGTCTTTGATATCTCGACTCGTTTGATTTTATTTAGCCTTACAAATGACTTTCCAAAGGTCAACATTTGAAATTTTGTTGTCTAGTGTTTAGACTGCTTAACTGTTAGATTGTAAATAGATGCAAGATCCACTGTAAAGTAATGTTATGTTACTTACACTCAAAAATAATCACCGAATCAAATTATTTTTGCCTTTCCAGACTTACATATGAAATCTCAAAACCTATCGATAACAATTTTAGGATATAGCTATTTTATAAGATGATCACAATAGTAAAAACATTTTACAAGCGAACAGTTAGTTTATTGTTATTTTGAGAGTTTAAACTTAGTTACAGCTTTTTTATTTTCTAATCGCTACCTCATTGCTATAACTCAGATATTAGACAGATTTCAGTGTTCAGCTTAACTTGAATTGAGCTAGTATGGTTTAGTGATTTGGTACAGAAAGTAATTTTTATGAAAGAATAAGGAGTATTGAGTTATTATCAGATAGTGAGTTATAATTTATACATTTTTCATAGTCCAGTGATAGATTTATCACAAAAATGCTTGTAAATATCATTTCAGTCCTATTGTTAGTTTTGCAAATATTAGCTTATTTTTTACCCATCTAAAAATAACATACTTCAATCAGCTCCTACTCGTCCTTACTGTGTGTGGACTTCTATCAAAAACTTTGATTTGTTATTATTATTATTATTAATTTATCATAATTATCTATTTTTTTTTTTTTGTGTTCATGAGGAGGAAAAACATGATTAAAATAGACAGAATAAAATCAATCAAAAATTAATGGGGCTGAATGTGTTCAACTAGATATTAGTTAATAGTATATCCATATAATGTTTTACTAATATTATGTTGAAAAAAACGTTTAAAATCTTGTGCTTCAGTTCGTTTTGCCATAAACATCGCCCGAAGCAGGATCCGCCAGACAACCTACAGAACCCTGGCGACCCAAGCAGTAACTGTGTTATATGCTTGGAGGAAGTGAAGCCATCGGACGACAAGCTATATGCTCCTTGTTGTAGGAAGGAGGCTTGTTTCCATCGAAACTGTATTCAGGTATTAGACAATTCATTTATTAATCTCTAATGACACAAAACTAACTTTTTCTTGTACAGTTTTTCAATCGGATGGATACAGACTTGACATGCACAATATTCTATACAAGTAGACAGTAGCAAAATTACTTTTAGAAAGACCATCTGTGTTTATATATTACATTCAATAGTATTTGCGACACACTTTTCCTGTACTGAGAACAATATTTTGTGCTTGGTCGCAATCGTTTGCCGGGGTTAGCTCAGTCTACAATTTGGCCGGGTGAAATTCCAGAGTCTGCGACGAGGGAAACCACTTGGCCAAAAGCTGGGTCTGACCGGAATGGGGCTGGCTCATACACGCGCACTGTGAACAAGTCAAAACATGTAATCAAGCAAACGTGCAATTATCACCACCAGGCCTATGCCGATTCACGATTCTGCACTCTCCTAGGGGGTCGTTGCTGACTACACAACTCGGGCTTCATCCTAACTATCCAATAGTTAAGCCCAGAGAGCCTAAAACAATGTGAGTGACGCGCTAACTTGCCAATAATAACCTCAACGCACGTTATCACCAGTCAGGGTCTACTCGGCTACTAAAATCCAATACACGACCCTTATATGCCATAAGACATAAGACATATTTTATTTACACAATACGTTCTTTATAAAGTACATTTCATACATAAGAACAGGTGTTTCGTCATAGTGATGTATTATATAGTAAAATTAATAGTTAAAATAATTAAAATAAACTCATGTAGAATATCAGAGAATTTTTATCTACATTATAGGGTTCTCCAAAAATTCGTCAAGTGAATAGTAGGCTTTCTCAATTATTTTATATTTTATTTTATCTTTGAATTGAGTAGCATTTAAATTTTTAAGATACAGGGGTAATTCATTGTACAATCTAAGTCCCATATATTGAGGGCTGTTCCTAAAAGTCGTCAATTTGTGATGTGGTAATCTGAAATTATATTTATTCCTTGTATTATAATTATGTGTAAATTTGACTGCATCTGACAAATTTTCCTTAGTGTTATGTATCCAATTTTGAATTTCATTTATGTATAATCCAAAAATGGTGTGAATTCTAAGATTTTTAAACAGGTTTTTACATGATTTTCTCCTTCTTGATTTGGTTAAGATTCTAATAATTTTTTTCTGTAAAATTAGTAGGGATTTGACTTCTGTTGACACTCCCCACAGTATGACTCCATACCTCAAGATGGATTCAACGTATCCATAGTAAACTGTGATACATGTATCCTGTAAACTGTGTACATGTGCCCAAGCTAACAATCATACAGTAGTTCACTCAATAGTCGATCTACAATAATAGGTACTAAATAAAATCAAAGTATCGGCAGAGCAACTAAACACCTAGTAGCTGGTCTCAATAAATACCAAGCCAAATGGCAAAATTGAATACCAGTCACACTTTTATTAAATTATTGAGATACTTAGTAGCAGTGTAATAAATAGAATATCTTAAAAACGCTAACTAAATATATCCAATAGCCGGTACGACGCTATACAAACTACCAAGATAACGTGTTGGATTAACTAAGTAACAAGCTGTTCAGCTTAAATTAAAATCATAAAATGACCAACCAATAAAACACTACTACTATCAAGGTGATATTAATTATCTGGGCTTCTAATTAGTAGGCTAACAAATTTAACTACTAACCTACTGGTGACTTTCAGTAGACAGAGCACGCCAAATCCTGTAGCCTAGGTTTGTCGGGCCTCAGAGTTATTACCAGTACAACAATTAACTTATGGCACAAAGCAATGTAATAATTACCAAAGACCATAAATATAATATATTATTTGTGTTTTGGCGCTTGCCCAGATCTGTTAGGATTTAGGAATATACTTTTATATTACTCCTGACACCTGTAAACCCTAGCTTCTGTCAGGCTTAAACCAGCACAGGTACAACTATAAGAGGCAGTTTTCAAGCTCAGGTTTATCGTAGTCCGAGCCCAAAATCCGGAAATAACCAAAATTCGCGCTGCGACCTTAAAATCAGGTTCACGAGCTCGAGACTTTATAAGCCGCGAACCAAACTGATAGGCTCCACACAATTAGTGTAGGGATAAAACCTGGTTTTAAAAGTTGGATTCACGAGTCCAATTAATTACAGATAGTCCCGGCTTTTGAGCATTAGTCCCGGTGGGTTCACGAGTCAAGTCCGAGCTCAAATGAGATGGTCAGAGCCCAAAACAACAATGGTGTTTGGTCTCCAACTCTCAGACCTGGTATGAGACAGGTTTAAGGTGACATCATGCCGGTTTTATCTAATTAGCTCCTTTATTTTTGATATTTTTTTTAAAACTAATGTTTATATATGGTTCCTCATTAAATTCCGAACGATTTCATTACCCACAACGTCATATTAAAAAAAAATATGTAAAAATGGTAAAAAAGGCTTATAAAACGTAAAAGAATTCTTAAAAACAACTTGAAACGACAAATAAATTATGCACTTAACAAAGTATTATCATTACAAAGACATTTTTACTAATTTACTAATTTCCTTTTTATTACAATTTTAACGATAAAATTATGTGTAACACATAAATATAACTAATCAGACACACTTAAGCCATTGTTATCCAACATAATTATCAGATATAGTTAACTGCTGTGGGAAACATCAAGCGAATTGTAAGTTGTTGAGACTGGTTGAGCACGGTTAGCGGTGATGATTTGATTATGTTGACAACTAAATACCACCACTACCTCGCATACGACCAGCTCATTATCATGAATACAACCTTTTATGACTTGATGAATTTAATAATACATTAGAACCTCGCTAATTCGAACCTCGGCAATTTGAAAACCTCTATAATTAGAAATGTTTGTCTGTTCCTCTCAGAAAACCTCTAAAATCCGTAAAATAATATACTGTACCGATGATTCGAAGTGATTAGTATGCTTAATGCAGCCTCTACAATTCAAATTTTGTTGCCATAATTCGAATTGTTACCTCCAAAATACGAAGCCAACCTCTACAATTCGAACTGCATTGCCGCAAGCCTCTGTAATTTGAATTTAGAACAAAAAATATGCATGTTCAAACATGAACTGGCGCTTTTATTGATGTTCCCATGATGTGTTCATTAGTCTCCGATCTTTCAAACTCTCTACACTTAAAACTGGGACCTCCATAATTTGAATTTGATTTATTCTGGCCTCTATAATTCAAACTCTCTATTTCAAACTTCTTATAATTCGAAATATATTGGCTTTCCTCTGAAATTTGATTTAGCGAGGTTTTACTGTAGATTTAGTTTTTTCAAAAATGCCGTCAATGAGTTATTTGAGGCGTTCTCTCCAAGGCACAGATTTCCCGAAACTGGTGATTTATTGGATGTTAGTAAAGCTTGGATGGTTGCTATTTGTTTGGTAATGAAAGCAGAATACATAAAATTTCCAGCTCAAAACTATGCCAAAAGTATAAAAACAACAGGGTTTCAACATTCTGGAAAGTCAGGGATGGTCATTGACAGTCATAGGAAAAAATTTTGGTCATTGAAAGTCATGGAAATAGGCAAGTAGTCATGGAAAGTCATGGAAATTTGCAATGATGGATGGATTTGAGGGGACTATTCAATGCTCTAGTCAGCCGTAACCCTGACTGTTGTAGCATTTTTCAGGATTTTTTACAAATGTTCGACAATTCAATTTATTACAGCTTATTACAATTTATTACATTATTATTTTATGAGTTTTGAGTTTCTTTTAGTTCATTGTTGTACCTATTGTACTCTATTGTTTTCTGTCAAAAAATATTTAAGTATTTTCTGCAAAATAACATGTCTAGGCAGTATTATTTGTGTGTGTATGTTGTATTATAATTTTTGAGTAAAGTTTGTGAGTCATGGAAATAAATAATAAATGGTCATGGATAGTCATGGAAAGTCATGGAAATTAGTGAAAAAATTTTTGTGGACACCCTGAAACAATGATCTTCCTAAATATGGACGTGTTTTAACACCAACGAAACTGATTTAAAAAATCGCAACAACCAAAATGTAAATAAAAACAAAACCATAGCTGTTTACATAACTAATATTACGAGCGAACTACAGTACTACAGAATATTATTTCTAACATTTTACAGCTAGATTATTTGAGACTAAAGAGTGTAAGAATAACGAAAAAAATATTCTTAGATTTCAAACTTGATTTTCCCTGATGCTTAGCACATACACACGATTTTTATATCTAAATAGTCATTACTTCTAAATTCATTTTAGTTTCAATACTTAATAGTTCTTCCAATTGTACTATTTAAGTAAGTTTAGATAAAATTAGCCTATCAAAAGAAAAAAACACCCCACATTAGCGCATTTATGAAAAATGGGCATTCATCCGGTTATAAATACCCGGTTATTTTATGTCATGTATATCTAAATTGAATCAAAATTATGCACACAGAAAAATCTACATTGCTTAAGATTTCAATTATCTGATTTCATGCAAACTTTTCATACAGGCTTGTGTTTATAAATCAACAAACTTTGATGGATTTGATGGAGACGCCTGGTTGCGGACTTTATTGCCCTCCCCTCGAAAGTAACGAGCTAAATTACAGCTAAGTCCCGAGCTCGTGAACCATGGCCCCTAATTCTTTTAATAAAATCAGGTAATAAATATTCTCAAGATTTTATTTTACGATATCACAGCCAAAATACAAGGAAAGTCGTCACTCACCAGTTCTACCCATCTCTCTACCCAACTTAACTCCACCACTTCACTGCTCGATTGCACGAATCCACCATGACACCAATGTCACTAACGAACTCGACGTCTCCCTAGACCAATTCTAGACCAATCGCTGCCGCTTGCTTACTTCATAAATAGGTGCGCGGCCAAACAACAAAAACTTACCCCAGGAAAATAGCCGTTTGAATCTTAAATTATCTGAAATTAATTTTACTAAACTCCCATTTTAGATTTTCCATTTTTATATTAGTTTTTGTAGCTATCCCAATTGTGACTAAGCTTTAAACTGCAAATTGGTAATTTTCATTTCAGCAAACAGCTCTTAGTGCTGGATATCAGTTCCGCTGTCCTCTTTGCAATAATGAAGAGGAATTCGTCCTAATAATGAAGAAATTTGGAATCTATGTCCCTTCCCAGTAAGTGATATATTTTACAGCCTACATTAGTGTACCTAGTTTATAGTTTAGATAAGAATTTAGATCAGTATCTCATACCAGTAGATACACCATCTTAGTAAGGAATTTGCACATCGACCATCTTTTAGCAAAAATAAATTCGGGGATTTATACCTTTGAAAGATTGTATTATCTTTGTAATTTATCTGTTTTAAGGAATGTTTTTCATGCCCATGTGCAATCCCATATATCTTATGAAATTTGTGTGTACGAGGAAAACCCAAACAAGACCATGATAAAATTTTAGTTGGTCAAGAAAAAGCAGAAAAAGCCATGTTAAATCTTTAGTCTGATGAGTCTGCAAAGGGGCATTACATTGAACAACATTTGAATTGTTTACAGTTTGTGCATCCTAGAATGTGTAACACAGTTTAAAAATAATGAAGACAATAATAAAGATTGTAACTCATGAGGACATACATGGTTACAATACTAGAAATAAAAGTCGTATAGTATTACCATCTTATAACTCCAAAGTGTTAAAAAGAAATCATCCTATGCTGGTGCTGTATTTATATAAATAACTTCTTGATTAGGTATTGATGTATTTTTCAGGTATTTATATAATACATCTCCAAAGAAATGCTGATAATAGAAAACTGTACAACATTTAGAAATACACTTAAAAAGTTTTTAAAATGGATTTTATTCTTTTAAAGAGCTATATAAATTAAGTAATGTGAATGCTGTTCAACTATTCTAAAATTAAAATTATCTGAAATGTATTAGGTTAGTTTTAAGTCTGAATTGCTTATTATATAATGTGACTATTTATTTTATTTTATGTACATGAACAAATGAAGACGTTTTGAGTTTGATACGGTAGATGCAATCCACAATCAGCTTCTCGCCTTTGGCATTGAGTTGAACCTTCTGTTATTGTGCTCTGATTAACTTAGATGTCCTAAATTGCTGAGGAATTACAATATCAGTGATTGCTTAATCTTCTAAGACCCTTCATAACACTATTACTGACTTCATATATGGCTTATGAATTAGTTATTTGATTCATATAGTTTTAATCAAACTCTAACCCATTCTTTACTTCTGTAACTAAAGAAGGAAATGTCATAATATAAGATAAAATAAAATCATTTAACTTACATTTAATTCATTACATTACATTGCATTACATTCACTTTATACAAGCTATGTACATATAGTGTCAATGGAGTACAATTTATTATAATAATCACATACAGTACACTCCTGATTATCCAAGCCCCGGTTATGTGAGCCCTCAGGTTATCCAAGGTAGCTTTTGGGCTAAATATATTTTTTAAATTTATGGTTGGAACACAAAAATTACCTTAAAAACGTATGTTTCTGTATAACCTAAAGTAAAAGTAGCAAGTAAATTCCGGGAAATTCCATGCAGTCACTGTTACAGTACTATTTAGTGTCTGTACAGTTTGTCGATCAGTCAGTGCTTCATTGTCAGTCTGTCATAGTTGAAATATTGTTGTTTGAGTGACGTTTGTTATCGTGTTTATCATTACAGTATAATGAGTGAAAAACGTAAAAGGGTGGTGGTTTTAATTGAATGTTGTTGTTTTCTTTAATAACGCCACTTGATTCTGAACATTATTTGCATTAAAATTACATTTTATCAATTATATTCAATGTAAAAGCCATACATTATAAGTATTTGACTTCCTAATATGGTACAGTGACTCCTAACCTCAAAATCTAAGCGACCTCTGTGTTATCTGAGATTCTCCATTTCCGAGGTAGTCTCGGTCCCATCAACCTCGGTTAATTGGGAGTGTATTGTAATTGAACCTATACATTGGGGATCACATTAACTTAAACAGCAAATTTCTTACTTTCATCCCCTATATAGTATGTGGAAAAAGTCAGTAGCGGCTGATCCATAAGGATTCTGGGAGTACTCCCATTTTCAAGATAAAAGTAAAAATAGTGAAAATAAACTTAAATAAGATTTTTATTCCTGCAGGATCAGTGTTTTTAGGACGGGTGATAATGGACACAATATATTTTTGCAACAGGTAGTACACAGGGAACTGCATGGAAAGATTTGACCAATCACAGCCCTGCGTCAGGCTCTAATGCAATAGATATCGGGCTTTTGGGACTCTGTCCAAACAGTAGTTCTAACTATTGCCACAACGAGCGCTGAGCACTGGGATCTGTTGACTGTCCCAATATGATCAGTGAAAAGTGAATACAGTACCTATCTAGTGATTTGTAGAGGTTATGTTCATCGTGCTGCTAGTATTCGGTGTTAACTTACATACTAAATTGTTTCTCTAGAAATGTTCAGGGGTGCTAGTGAATTCTGTTAAAAATATTTCTGCAAAGTATACGAGTGATGAGGACAATTATTAATAATGAATAAAGAGACAATTAAGACAATAATGAATAAAACAGTTTATATGCAAAAATTGCCCAAGTCAAAGTTTGAATAACTCATTTTTTCTTTTAACTAAGACCCTTCCCTGGTAACCTCCCCAAAAAAAATTTTATGCGTCCTCTCTCCTCCTACTACTTTAACCCACCAGCCGACACTGGTAAAAGTAAGGTTTTTCTCAACATTTTTGAGTTTGAGTTTTGATCTATTTTGAGTCTCACTGATAAAAAAAAGTGATTTCTGAGTATTGTGTGTGTGTTTGTGGATTTGTCTCAACTACGTACTGTTCACCCTGAACCCATAAAGTGGTTTTTGAAATAATGTCTGAGTGTGTGTGTGTGTGTCTGCATTTGGATGTGTACGGAGCTACAGACTCCACCTGTGGTCCGATTTTGATTAATAAAGTATCCATTAGCCCTTGGCCTACAGAAAAAAATGATGGCTAATGTTTTTCTGTCTATAGTAGACAAATAAGACAAAATTTTAATCACAGTTCTACGATGTCCCGTTGTCAACACAACAGGCTACCAAGTTATATTTTGAGGCGTTGCACCGACATAGAATTTCTTGGAAGAGAAAAGGGATGCCGGCCACCCCAGCGCTGTTTTGTAAACAAAGATTAGTACAGGACAGTTTCCATGAGCAAATCAACAGTCATACACATACAATTAAAACACTGTTCATCAATCTTGTAAACAATGATTTTATTTCTACAAAGAGACCAGAAACCAACTACTTACCGTATACTGTATAGTGTAACAAAAGAGCTTGTTATTGCATATTTCTATCTCAAAATATAAGACTTTTTGTAACTGAGCAGAATGTAGATGGATTACATTAAAACCTTAGGACAGGAATATAAAGCCAACACTATTTTGTTAAATCTAAATAAATATTTATAGGGACGCTGCATGGGAGCAGGAGACCAATGCATTTGGTGAACTGCTGGTGAGGCACAGGACCTGTGACAGCAGAAATTGTGCGTGCCCCACCGGAAGACAAACTAACAACAGAAATACGTAAGTAACAGTGTTTTAGAAACTAAGCTGAAGCTCTTACTTATTCCAAGTTTAACACATAGTTGCATTACATTATATAATAAACAATTTAAACAAGCGTTGGCTTTGGCTACTGCAGAACAAATACCCCGCCACACGAAACCTGCAGACTAAGCAAATTTCCATTTGCCTGAAGTAATTTTTAATTAAATCTATTTTAAAATAACATTAGGTTCAATAAGTACCTAGGTTTGCTGCTACAGGGAGGCTAATAAATTGTGTATTTTAGTAAAATATTAATAGCTTAGTATAAAATAAATAACAGGGTGTATACCAACCGGGAGAACCACCTTGAATTTGAAGGGAGCTGGAAAAAGCCGGGATTTTTGGGCCGATTCCGAGATATATTTGTTTTAGCCACGGTAGAAGATTGCAATCATAAAACTGAGCATTTGCCCAGATCGCAGAAGATTCCACCCCGCGGGAGACGACATGACGTCTAGATGTTCATGATTTTTCCACGATCGAGGATAACTAAGATGACGTTTCCGTAACCGGTAATGAATTACTTTGGCAAACCATCAAACTCAGTGACTGACACAACAATGTTAGTAATAGTAGTTTAAATAATGTCAAAAATTATATTTTAGATTGTAACTGTAGTAGCACATTTATTAATTTGAATGGTAAAAATAATAATGAATGAATTAATTAGTATATTTCACCAGAATATTGAGCACCTTGCATCCATAATTGATCTACTAATAATTACTCTGGAAGAAATTAGTCCCAAAATTGATGTATTGACAGAGCACAAATGTATAAAAAGTTATATTTCTCAAGCATGTTTAATTAAGATAGTTATGAATTGGTTACGCATTATTCAAGGGATAAAGAACCAGGTGGGGGTGTTTCGATTTTTGGAAAAGAAGGCTTAACTTGCAAAGAAATTGAAAGAAACAAAAAGGCAGTAATAAAAAATGGAATGGGTGAATAATAATATAAAAAAAGAAAAAGAAAATCTAATTAGTTTGAATCAAGAACTGAGAAGCAATACAAGTCCATTTATAAAATGCTCCTACTAACACACAAAAATAACTATTAACGATGAAAAAACTAGTATTTTTCAAATTTAATACCGTAGTTGAATCACAAAACAGGCCAAAACAACTTTAGGCCAGTAACATTAGTTAAAAAATTGACCGTACCTAGAAATAATTCCCGGAAAGCTGGAAATTGTTTTAATCCTTATGTTTTATGTAGGAGTAAAAGGATTTGAAGTTTGTCCCATTTTTCCAGGTGAGCTTCTAACCTAGGACCACAAAAACCTTGAAATTTATGGTTATTTTTTAGTTTTTGCTAAAACGTCAAAAAAGTGTAGCCTACAGAAAAACACATTATAATCCCGCATCCATTGAGTATCTGGTGACGAAAATTGAACCAATAGTAAGTGATTTGTAGTAATTTAAATAAAGTTATTTTATTAAGAAATTATTGAACATCGCATATTTAACATTTATATTAATTCTACAAAATGGATTCCAAGTACATTTTTATTTAGAAGTAATTAATACGAATTACAACAAACTGATCAGATTTTTTTGTCTCTGTTGTGGTGAATCCGGAATTGCAGGTCTAACTTCCTCCTCGTCTGTATTTGTGTATTTGTGGGGTGTACGCACATCACAGCTTATTTGTGGTTTTTCTTTCTCTGGTGGATTGGTGCAAGAAACACCTTTACAGTGTTGTACATTTGACTCCGTTCTTCCAACAAATGTTAAAGCTGCACCACCGGATCTTCTTAACACTATCTCATGTAAGTGTGTAAAATTGGTTGCACTTAAAGGAAGAACGGAGTATTAATTACTTTGTAAATAATAATGTACTTGGAATCCATTTCCTAGAAGTAATATAAATGTTAAATATGCTATGTTCAATAATTTCTTAATAAAATAACTTTATTTAAATTACTATAAATCACTTATTATTGGTTCGATTTTCATCAACAGGTAATCAATGGATGCAGAATTTTATGTTCTACAACTCCATTACGATATGTTTTTCTGTAGGCTAGACAGTTTTTGACGTTTTAGCAAAAACTAAAAAATAACCCTTAATTTCAAGGTTTTTGTGGTCCCAGGTCAGAAGCTCGCCTGGAAAAATGGGACAAATTTCAAATCCTTTTACTTCTATATAAAAAATACCCCCACCGTAGCAAACCTGCAGACTAAGCGAATTTCCATTTGCCTGATTGGAATTACACTAAAATGTCTCCTTAAAAATATCACATTTATTCCTTATTTAAATAACATTAATTTAACGAGTACTTAGGTTTACTGCAAAAGGGAGGGTAAAAAGGTGTTTTTTTTTCTAATGTAATAGTTTAGTATGAAATTAATGCATTTTCCAAATTTGATCAAAATATGTTCATAAACAAGCAAACTACAACAGAACAGCTTATTCTCCATAAAAATAACATGGTAATTTTAAATTTACAGATTTTTGGAATTTTCTCCGTAACCATTTGGCGCATATTATCGCTTCAATATACTAAATTATTTGTTTTCTTAAGCTCTACAAAATGGTTTGGAAAGAAATTGCTAAATTTTAAGTTTTTAGCGTAAAAAATGGGAAAAACCAATTTTTACCCCATAAAACCCCCATAAACCCCTGTTCCCATAGTCCGATCATGCTGGTTCGCGAACTCGTTCGAATAAACATAGGTTTACACGTTTGTACCAAATTTCATCAAAATCAGATGATTTTTGCTTGAGTTATCGCGCTAACGGACACATATATATATATATATATATATATATATATATGAATTTGAACGGATGGTGTTTTGGTCTCTAGGGACCTCAAAACAAAAAAGTAAATCGGTCCCGGGTCCAGGTCTTACTATGAGTACTACGGTAATAGCTTATTCCCTATAAGGGAAATTCGCTAAAAGGATTAAAATGATTTGCAGCTTTCCGAGAATTATTTCCAGGCAAAAACCTATTTTTACTGGCCTACTTGGAATATCATTTACAAAGATTTAGGTAAAGTAAAGCAAAAAAAATTACAAAGATAAAAATTATAAATGAAAATAATGTAGTAGAGTCAAACTCTGAGATAGTAGCTAATATGTTCAATGATTACTATATAAATATGGTAGATTCCACTCCAATTAACAACCAAGGGATAGATACAACTAACACTTGCACTATTGCATTAACTGCACTATTGCATTAACTAAATTCTGCTGTAATCAAGTAAGTGAGGAAGAAATACTAAAATTGGTAAAAAATTTAAAAACAAAAAGTCATCAGGGTATGACGAGGTTCCAGTCAGTGTTATAAAATCAGCTATACAGTAGACCCCCTCTTAACCGACCTCGTATTAACCGATAATCGGATTATCCGCCTTTGATCGTAAAATAATACAGTTTGTTTTAACCGACCTTGATTTGAGAGCAGCTCGTTTTAACCGCCGCTTTCTAGGAATCTCGGCATTTCCGCTCCCACGCTGGGCGATGATAACTGAACCATACGCTTATCTCCACAGGATATGACTAACAATAAGTTATTTTGTGATGATCACAAAAAATATAGCATAGCCTATTGTCAGTTTGTCATCATCTTTCGTAGCTCGAGCACATCTGATCTGATTTGTTATCTGTGCGGCAAATTTATAACATCATAAAGTGCGTTAAATTTTGAGAACTGATTATCTTATCGCTTGAGTAAACAAACAACGCAACTTGTATGGAGGGCAGGGAAGGGGTGTTAACAACTCCAAGGTCAAGATAGTTTTTGTGCCTCGAGCCTCCAGTGAGAGGCTATAAATAAACGTCCTGTCCTGTAACAAAATGGTCGCTTGTATCTTTAATGACGACAAAAGGTTCTTTACTATATTACGATGTATTTGGAAAGCATTAATTAATACATTACAGTAGTAAAGTTATTAAAATAGGAATTTTATTGACTCTTGCCTAGTATTATAATATATTCACTGAAAGTAGGCCTATTTGACTTAACCGTGTTTTGTGTTTATTTTTGACATTTCTATCAATATGAAAAAGGAGATAAGAGTAGTTTATTTTATAAATAATGCAAGTATGACTTCAAAATAATGATTATATAATTCCAGATGAATAGCACTTCATTATGTTATGATTTTAGGGATTGCCCGTTTTATCCGACCTTTTGAATCATCCGACCTAGGTCCCATTAGGGTCGGTTAACACGTTCGCTGCGGCACGTCAAATGGCGGGCGTATCCCCAGTGCGGCGCAGCCCTCAGCGTCAAACAAACCCCGATTGCCGCGTGTGATTGGCTTTCCAATTTTGGTCTGATGAATAGCAAATAATGTGCGGGGATGTCCTGCTTTACAACGACAGTCGATGTAGTTCGCTAAACACCCACAGATAGCAGCACTGCTTGGAACGTAGCCGGTCCCATTGTAATTGTATTGCCAAATGGAGGGAAAAACACGGGACAAAAAGTTGATTTTTGACATTGCCAGACGGGGATTTTACGGGGAAATTTACTACCAACCTACACCACAACACCATAACACAACACCTGAACAAACTGAAAAAAAATACGCTATTTTCAAGTCACATACTACACGCTAACGTGGTATAGGTCCACTTTCGGCCGACGCTAGAGCAAAAACGAAGATATACAAAAGGCATTGTCGAGTGTTCCCGATGGTGTACGGACGCACCGGACGGGGGCCAAGCACCGTACCCGATCGGGAACGGCCGCACTCTACGTGTTAAGAGGGGGTCTACTGTACAACCTCTGGTTATAAATTCAAGCTTTGTATCATGAATATTTTCACAAAAACTTAAGATATCTAAAGTTATTCCAGTTTTTAAAAAAGTAGACCCAAAAGAAATAAACAGTTGTCGACTGTTGAAGACCTAAAGTCTCAGATAATTGCTGTAAAAAACAAGTGTATTGAATTAGACTATTTTCAAAAATACAGAAATTAATCGTAATCAACCGAAAAATCACTTGCCACAAAAATGA